AAACACTTCAATCCACTTTGGGGAGGAAAGAGCAGCTCAGTGGGATGTTCAGAAGCAGGAGCCTTGACTTGAGTTTGCACAAGTTGCATCCACAAGAAATTTCCTGTCCTTCTTCAGAAAACAGTAAAGGGTGCAAAATTTTAGTCACTCTGTCCACACAGTGCATGTTCTCAAGATTCTGAAGTTGGGGAGATAAGTTTAAGTATCGGGGTTGCTTTCCCATAGGAAGCCTGAGAGATTCCAGGGACTTCCAAGCTTCACACTGCAGCTCTGCTTACACAGACATGCCCCTTTCACAAAGCTCTCCATCTAGGAAGACAAGAATGTATTGCCAGAGTAGTTTTTCTCTCAGCCCTTTCTCACATCCTTTACACAATGATCTCATTGTTTGTCCTATGTCCTATGACTTTAGTTTTCCCTACAGTAAAACAATGTATTTAAACATCCTTGTAAACTTTCAGCTCATTGTCCCAGGGTGATGCTGCGACAGTGACATTTGCTCTTCTTTCAGCCGGTTTTCCTTAACGAAGTCCTTGTGAAACTGCCCACAGACCCTTCAAGCGATGAGCCCGTTTTCCACATATCACACATCGACAGAGTTTACACACTTAAAACTGACAACATCAACGAGCGGTGAGTAGTGACAGTGCAGATCTGAGCCTAAACTTGCAGATCGAGGCTGCAGGCCGTCTCAAGTGAGCAGACATGGGGGGCTCTCAGCTCAAGAATAGGGTTTAGTCCTTTGGTCAGGAAATAAACCCACTTGACTCTCATTTGAATGACAGGTTTTCTCTGATTTTGTCCTGCTTGTGCAGCAGCTCTTGCAGTGGAATCCAGCCACATCTGCTGCTCCTTGACATTATTGTTGTATACAAGAATAGTTTAGGGCTGCAAAGTCCAGCATCCCATAGGATTCTTCCCCAGTCCTAGTAAGTTTTTAATGTGACCCAGCAGTCTTTAATAGAACAGCAGCTCCACTTTGTGTTTATTTAGTCTGATTTGGAATGCGGCATCAAGATTAAATCCAAAACCTCCATCACTTTAGTCCATGACCTAACTTGATCTGTGATGCCTCTGAAACCCGGGGGGGATGGAATGACCAAAGAGATTGGGGCAGAGTCACTGATGCTGAAGACTTCCCTGCCTGTGGGATGACCCTGACTGTAGGGATTGCTCTTTGCAGTACTGCCTGGGTCCAGAAAATCAAAGCGGCGTCAGAGCAGTACATCGAAACAGAGAAGAAGAAACGTGAAAAGGCTTATCAAGGTACCTACAGAGTTCTGTATTTCCCTCTCATCCACCTGGAGGATGCCACAGTGTCTGTGCAGGATCTCCCTCTTCAGATCTATTGCCAGTTTTTACAGTTCCAACCAATCCATTTATTTCTGACCTCTCTGTTCCCAGCTCGCTCGCAGAAAACCTCAGGAATAGGACGTTTGATGGTGCACGTGATTGAAGCAACAGAACTAAAAGCCTGTAAGCCCAATGGTAAGTGAGGGAAACAGTCTCAGATCACTTTTATTCCTGTAACATTTGGAAAAGCTTGCTGAGAGGAGTTTGGTGATTTGGGAAACACTGTGGTTCAGCTACAGTTTCTGTATGAATTAGCCATTCTTTAGCTTCAGAGGAACAAGTGAGGAACCAGCTCTGTGCTGCTGTGGGATATAGGGATTGCCTGATCCACATCTGGGCAGCAGCATCAATGTGTGTCCAGGAAGGCTCCAGATGGAGGGGAGGTTTCTGCACTGCAGGGGATTTTCACTCCCTGTTCTGTGTTTAGGGAAGAGCAACCCGTACTGTGAGATCAGCATGGGCTCGCAGAGCTACACTACCAGAACCATGCAGGACACCCTGAACCCCAAGTGGAACTTCAACTGCCAGTTCTTCATCAAGGACCTGTATCAGGATGTCCTGTGTATCACCATGTTTGACAGGGATCAGTTCTCACCCGATGGTAAGTGTGGACATTTAGGAAAAGCAGCAGTTCTGAGAGCCTGTTGGTCTGACTGCTGCCTGGGAAGTGTTGTGTGAAAGCAGTGCCTCAGGACACAGGAGGTTCAGTAGCCTTCCAGAGCCAGCAGCTCCAGGCAGTCAGATTTGATTCCACTCTGGCTTTTATGTCAGTCACGGTATTTATTTTTTTTTTTGGTCAGACTGGGCAGACAGAGAATTTGAAAGCAGAAATTTTACTCTCTCACTGTAGGTGCCCAAAAATAAGGTGCCAGGTTGTATCTGCACAGCAACAGCTTGATAAGCTTTCTTGTTTTGCTTGGAAACAACACGGTTTTGGCTGTCAGGTACTCCCTAAAAGCTTAAATGCTCTTTCAGGGCTGACATGTGGTTGATTATTGCAGATTTGCTAGGAACTGCCTATAGTGTGTAACTGTAGCTCAGTCTTTTCTCTGTGAGGTAACATGACTTTGGCTGCTTCTCCCAGCCGGACAGCAGAGTCTGTTGGATTTTCAGTCCACGGTGAGCCTTTTAATGCACAGACACACACAAAGATGTTATATAAGAAATGGCCACAAAGAAGGTATATGATTTCTGAATAGAACTGTAAACCTACTAGTGGTAGTAATTGTTCAAGGTCATTGTTCTTGAGAGAAGAATGATATATAAGCTTAATAAAAGTTGGCTGAGCCAAAACAGTTGATTTTTTTTTTTATTGTCCTTGTGGCATCTCAGCTGATTTGTAAACGGGTTCTATCACCTAACTCTGACCTGCCAGCTCTAAAACTGGAGAACATTTGAAATTGTGTTTCTGAAAGGGTATTTTCTAAGAGTGTTTTTAAAGCCCTAAGTTCAAATATGACAATAAAGGCATGTTGTCCATCCTAAATCCATAGCATTTTGTCTTCTAAAAAGACCCTTTTTTGTCACTGCTGGCTGGTTTACACGGGGCTGAGGGCCAGTCAAACAGGAAACCTGGGAGCAGTGCTCTGGAACTGAACACCTACTGTGCAGCATTGCTGCTTAACCTGACTCAGGTTTGCTAAGCTGTCCTTGCCTAATGAAATGTCTTACTCACTTGCCCAACAGATTTTTTGGGTCGCACCGAAGTTCCAGTAGCAAAAATCCGAACAGAACAAGAGAGCAAAGGCCCCATGACTAAACACTTACTGCTGCATGAAGTTCCAACTGGAGAAGTCTGGGTGCGCTTTGACCTGCAGCTCTTTGATCAGAAAGCACTCTTCTAAGAACACCTTTTTTTAATTTATGAAGGACAACTGAAGCTGACAGACTGAATATCTTTTGGTAAAAGATTCCTTGCCCCACGCTGGTTATTAAGCAAGAGTTCCTGCTGCCTCCGTGTTTCCTCTTAGTTCCTCCTTGTGCTTAGTTCCTTGCAGTGTTCCCAGTTGTTGTTGATCTATGCAAACACAAATGTTACTGTATATACAGCACTATAGCTCAGTGCCTTTTTATTATGTTGGAATATCTTGGGTTTGGATGCCAATGTTTCCATTTTCAGGGCCATAAAAAGTATTAAGTAGAAATGTGGCACCAAGCTGTTTGTATATTTTACCACTTGGTCTGACAGACAGACTGAGGAATGGTTTAAGCTCAACACTGGAATCATTCCATTTGAAATCCTAAAAGTGATATCCACTGGAATCTTCCCGTCTCAGGATGATGGTTTTAAAGGTAAAATGCTGAAGAAGCCTTAGTACTGGAGAAGTCTCCAATATATTGTATATTCCTTAAGAATCAAGTGTAGTTCTTTACTTGACTTAGTTCTGCACTGGAATCAGTAACTGCTACTTGATTTTAATTTCTGCTTCAGTTTGATTCATCATTCTCTGCTAAGACAATGTTGTTGTGAAGAATAACTAGAAAAAATATTTTAAATACTGTGACCCACAATAATGTGGCAAAATACTCTTCAGCTTTTGGGGTTTTTTTCCTAAATATAAGTTATTTGTGTACATTTCCTTGGTCTTGCAGACCTCCATGTGAATCTTGAAGCTTTGACATTGCCAACATGTATATAGAGAGTAAAATATAAGTTTATTAATGTAATTTGTCTACAGATGTTTATTGATTTTTAAAAAGTATATTTTATTGTACAGGGGAATGTGAAATAATGAGAAAAACTTACAGGATTCGTTCAAGAAACATTTATTACAAGTTTAAAAGGTTTGCTTGGGGGGAACTACACCCCAACACAAACCTGTAAAAAGAGCTGGTTGAAAGCAAAAGCTTTCTCTTGGCACCAAATCAGGGATGGTTAAAAAAAAAAAGTTTGTTTATAGAATATTTGATACATTGTAACCATTTTACTGCCTCCTTAAACTGCCTTGTTGCGGAAGCACAGCGTGCAGTTCTGAGCAGCCCTTTCCACGGGTGCAGCAATTCCTCCTGAAGTCTGGCAGTTTCCCATGCAGTCACCATCTGTGCACCCTCCTTACTGAGTCAACCTCTGTTACTTTTAACAGTTTTCTGTGGTTCAGTATTTCTAATCCTAAATAAAACTCAACCTTGGCAACTCTTGAGAGATTGTGTCTGTACAGTGAGAGTTTGGAGAATAGAGGAAATTCTGTTTCCAGGCTTTGAGACCAGAGTTGCTGTGCAGCCAGACCAGGGGGGAGATGGGACCACACTGGAATGGGAGAGAGACTGGTTTGTGGGGCACTGGCTCAGCTGCTGCTCAGCACAGACTCTCTGAAAAGCACTTCCCATTTCCCCTCCCCTACTTATTTCCTGCTTTCTCAGAACACCTAATATGTATGTTAAAAGTTTGATTTACTGCTTGTACACTGTGTTCAGGAGAGAACACCAGCACTGTTTTTGTTGAGCTGAGCCTAAGTTAAATCTCCTAAAACAGCAGATTTTGGCTTGTAGAGCATGAACTGGAGCTGGCAACAACAGGAGCAGCATCCCAGACATTTCTTTGGCTGCTGAGTAACAACATTTCAGAACCACGTTCAAGACAGTAAGTTTATTGCAGCTTGCCAGAAGACCTGGCCTGTTATCACTTGCTTTGGCAGGGGATGTAACCTAAAGGGTACCTTCTGATGGCTGTGCTTGCTGCTCTGGTCAGCTGGGGGACAGGTGACATCATTGGCTCTCGCTGTCATTGTGGTGATTGATGACTTTCATTCTTTAAACAGAAGTAAAAACTATTGCCATGCTCCTGTAAAGATCAGCTGAGCTGCCAGAGTAGTTCCTTCTACAGAGCACACACACAGCTTGCCTGGGAACTCTCCAACCCTCCTTAGACAGAACACACTCCCTGTGCTGCCGCAGTGGATTTAAAATGAGGAAAACAAACCTCCCCCCTGCCATTGCCTACTGTGCCTCCAAATCTGGGCTTAGTATGGATCCAAACCACATTCCTGCTGAAAACCATGTTCAAATACTCTTGGCCTTAAATGCACTAGGAGCTGGGACCCATATTTGTTCAGGTAATAAAACTAGAATGTGTTTCCCTACAGCAGCACATCAGTAACATGCTCTGCCTCCTAACTATGAACTGCCTGCTGGTCAAAGGGGAACTCCAAACCTCACACCTTCCAGCAGTCTGTGCACGTCTTCTGGGAGAATGGATCATACTCTGATGGGTCAAAATAGTCCAAAAACACGTAGCCCTGTGGGAGAAGCAGGTACTGGGTCAGGTCTCAGAAGCCTTAGGTGATACAATGGTGAGAGCAGCCAGCCTGGGTGGGACACAGCCTGTGACAGACATGGTGGAGAAAAGGACTCCCAAATTTTTATACACTGCACCTCAGAAATAAGGTGACTGAAGTGTAACAGGAAAATTCCTCTATCCATTTTAATTTATCATAGGCATAAATACATAATACATGATTTCATGGAGCATCCAGAAATAATTTCAGGCTAAGATGCTAACCTTAACTAGGGCAGTCAAGACAGTGGAAATTTCGGTCAAGGGAAAATGTTTTGACAGAGAAGGAAACAGCTATTGAAAAGAAAAAAAGAAAGGAGTGGGTAAGCCCTCAGCAGGCACAGCCCTAGGCAGGTCACTGGTCTGGGTTCATGAGCTGGCTTTTCCATCTAGACATAAGAGTAAAGACCTGAGCCACACCTCATAGTCCAGGTCACAGCTCCCTCTCATCAAAAACTGCCTGCAACAATCAACATGTTCTGCAGTTCAAGTTCCCTATAACAAGCACATAAAATAGTCCTCCCTAATATTCTTTCTTACAAAACCTTGGAAATGAACTTTTTAATCTTTCTTGTGTGGGTTATTCTCCATGGATCCCAGGAAGGAAGGGAGCATTCAGCCCACGGCCTCCTAGATCTCGGCCCTACACAGTGCTTCATGGCAATCTGTGGATGTGATTTCAAGACTTGGAAAAAACCATACTTTAACCTGAACAGCTCAGGAGCTCTGCAAGACAAGTCCAACCAAAAAAAAAGTGGGATCTACAGTAGATTTAAGAGGTCACTGTGCTGAAGCAGCTCACAGGGAAGTGAGCCAGGCCCTGAGGGCCTGTGCTGTTCTCAGACACTCGGGAAGCACCGTGGGGCTTCTCTACTGCTGAGTGTGAATGCTGCCTCTGCAGGGGCCTCTGCTCCTCAGGATCTGGCAATTCCCCACACAACAAGCAGCAGCCACGCTCATCATCTCATGTTTCTGTCCCTGGAAAGCTTCAAGCCCTAATAGAGCTCAATTTGCAGAGTTTTAGTGCCACCCCTTGGTTTATTATCACATATCACCCCTTTACAAGGTCTGCTGAGACCTCAGTGGATCACGGAGGTGCTTTGCTGCACTCCCAGGTCTGACCCCTTCACGTGGTCGATGCATTACCCCTCACACAGCCCTTGGAATAAAGCAGAGTAAAAGCTCTTCAAAATGAGTCAGGGGGGTCTCTTTCTCTGCAGCACACAATGCCTACAATAGCCTGGACTACCAGAAGCTGACTTGTGGCTAACACAGCAGCAACCCAGGCAGGGGAATCCCCTCTCCTTGCAGGCTGCACTGTCACACTGCCATCTTCACTCTGACCAACCATCTCGTTAGGCACCTGCAGTCCATGGCCACAGGACTGGAGGGGAGGAGGAGTGAGAAAGGCAGTGAAAAGGAGGCAGATTTGAGGCAAAAAAACCCACATATGAGCAGGTCCTTGGAAGAACAGGGAGTCAAGGAAGGGAGGTAAAGGAGGAGAGGTCAGATGGTGTGAAAAAGGCAGATGAGTGAGCTGACAAAGACTGAGATGGAGAGATTTGGAAAAAGAGTGAGGAGAGAAGGAGAATGGAGGAAAGGGGAAAAAGACAGCTTTGGAAAGCAAAGGGCAGTGAAGAACCTGGAGGAATTATCAGAAGCAACAAGAAGATGGAGACACAGCAGTGGGGAGCGTGACAGAAGAAAGAGGGGCAAAATGGATTTATGGATGGAGTAAAGGAGTTGACTGGAGAGAGAAAGAGAGCAAGAAGAGAGACTGGAGGAAGAATAATAGACATGGAAAGAAAGAAGGAATGGACCAATCACAGGCATGGGAAGGTCAGGAGATCTGGGAAACAGGAGGAGAAGCCTAATAACAGGGAAGAGAGCAAATGGACAAAAAGAAGGGAGTGAGGGGGAAATACATAGCCAGAAGTCAGTATATTAACCAATCTACAGAAATGTTTCAAGTTCTGCAAAACGTATCATGTGCTGCCACGGTCAATGCAAACTTATGCAAGTGAGTTGTCCTGTAACTCTGAAGGGCTTCAATCTGCTCTGCAGACATGCTGATGATAGAGCAGACACCACAGAGCAAGGGGAAAAGGTGGAGGCTGATCGCTGGTGCTGGTGTTTCCCTTCCAGGAGGACACATCCCAGCACATCAGCCAGTGCTTTTGGAGGACACCCAGCAAATTCCTGACCTCACACAGAAGCTTGGAAGTGGACTGATGCAGACCCAGATATGTACAGTACACCCAACATATCCTAAATCCTAGGACATCAGCAGTAAGACTGGTTCAGGTCTTTGTTGTTCCATGCAGTTTAAATGCATGGGTCTGTCACATCAGGCCTTTGAAAAAGAAATCATTTGCTCTCGTTAAAACAACGCAGCTCCCATGACATTTTCATTTCTGGCTGAGAAGGTTGTTTACAGACTCACGACTCCACTGTGCAGTGGTTTCCACTGACAACAAATTCCTGCTCTCAATAAAATATTATCATTTTTATGTAACTGCTCTTACTGCTCTACATTTCCATTCCTGAGATGCAGAAAATTGAGTTGTGGGATTTGATACTCAACAGTGTTGTGAAATTCAGAGCAAAATGAAGAAAACCAACAAGTATTTCCTACAGTGACTGCACTTTTTCTGAGTACTGAAACCCATGGAACTACAAAAAGTTGGGTCTATTGCCTGTATACAGACTTCAAGAAAATTGTTTGTATCTCCCTGTTCCCACATTTTTTTCTTTTATGATGCTTGATCAGTAGCATCCAAGGCCACAAAATCATTTCATTCGTGCTCTGCCAACATACTGCAGTAGTGATGTAGCTTAACTTCTGCGACATGAGAGTGCAGTCCACTCCCTGCTCAGTCAGCCTTTGACTTCAGCTGACAGAGCTCAGTTTTTCCCACTACATGATCCAGCTCACAGATGGAAATACACATCAATATGGTGTCTCATCATATTCATACCCAAGCAAGGCTATTGTTTGTATCTGATGGTGAACTTAAACAGCTCTAACATCATAGGTCACCATTGCAGAAGTCCTTGGGAAAGAAAGGTAAGTTACAGGTAAGGTGCATCTGAATTCCAGGCTACTCAATGGACAGCAAATAGCAGCTAAACCCCTGATCTTGTCCAAAGCCCTCCTTATGCAACCCTCTCCATGACAGAAATTTATTTCTCCTTGATACCTTCTTGTTACTGTAGTTTAAATATTGAGACAATTGTTCTTGTTTCCTTTTCTGCATTTCTTCGATTGACTGGCTGCCCATTTCGTCCTCAATTTTCTGCAGCACTGGCTCTAAAACATCCTTAAGCCATTCTTTGTACACAATCTCCTTCTTTCTCAGATTTAGGAAATCATTGTGCCTCAGGTATCTGTCCACCTCCTAAGTAAGAAATGCAAAATAAAACCATACAAATTATTGGCCAAGCACATTAAAGGTTTCACAGGTGAAGGCTGACTGGTCTCTGCTCCAAGGGCACTGTTTTCCAACCCTTCTTTGTGCTCCTCCCTCTCTCCACTTCCCACCACTCATTTCCAACCTCTCACTTGCAAGAGCTCTGGCATTCAGACCCTTAACTTTTGAAACTGTGGTGCAAGACTGGCAGAAAATTACTCACTTTTTCCCATCAGGTTATTGAGCTGAAATCACTGCAGAACAGGGGGCTGATAAGCAGCAGACTGTGCAAGACAGGCAGCAGGAGAGGGACCCTCTCCCTGCAGCACTGGCAATCTGCTAGATCAGATCAGATCAGATCAGATCAGCCCTGCTGCCCTTTGCTCACAGCCCCACTGACCAACTAACCACACCCACAGAGCAAATATCAGGTGCAAACAGGCAGGTAAGTTACCTATGATTCACATTTAGGGTTACTACTTCAGTCATATCCAGAGGAGAGACCACAAACTCATACTTCTAAATCAGTTTTTCAAGAATACAGACAATTAACATTTTCTCACAAATCACTGACCAGAAACTAGAACACATTGACATGCAGGAAAGCACACAACAAATGAGAAGAGGTACCATTTCTTACCCTCACAAAACAATTTTCTCTGTCCAAGATGCACTGAACAGAAGCAATGATGTCTCGGCTTTGGTCAGGTGTTACCTAACAGAACATTAAAAACCCACATGAAGTAAAAGCAGGACTCAGACTAGGAGTCAGATTTACTTTGAATTCAAAATAATCACTGGTGTTGTGATTAAAGGCACATTATACCATAACCCAGCTGGCAAATCCTTGTGAGACTTGCTCGGAACAGTGGGGATAAGTAGCAACAGATGAGTGTTGGAAGAACTGGAATGGGAACAGGAATGTACATGTTAAGACCATACATTTCCTTGGCTGCTCCTCACCATGACCACACACCACTTGTTCCTTGCCACTGTTGCTCACCTGTGCCAAACACATGTCTCATAAACTCAACTCCTGCACTGCAGGCAAGGAGCACAAGCAATATGGACCAAATCCATCTATCACTTGGGGATGGAATTCCTGCAGGGAAGATGAGGGGGGTACCTCCCCTGTGATCAGGCTGCACCAACTCTGTGGGTTAACCAGAGAGACCTTGTCTTCACGAGTCCATCAGCAGCTTCTACAGGCAACAAGTTGTCCAAGTTTTGGCTGGGATAATTTTCTTTCTAGTAGCTGGTACGGTGCTGTGTTTTGAATTTAGGATGAGAGTAATGTTGATGTTTTAATTGTTGCTAAGTAGTGTTTACACTAAGCCAAGGTTTTCTCAGCTTCTCTCCCTACCCCACGAGTAAGCAAGCTGGGGGGGTCACAAGGAGCTGGGAGGGGACACGGCTGGGACAGCTGACCCCAAATGACAAAGGGTTATCCCAAACCTCAACTGAGCTGGTTTTACTCAGGCCTAAGCCAGAGGCAGGGCTGAAACATTCACATTTCACCTGTCTGACCTGCTGCCTCCTCCTGTGGTTTCCACAGACGAATTCAAAGTCATCCCTGCTGTGACTTTCTTCTGCTGTTTAAAAACTGAGCTACAGCCACAGCATTTTTGCACAAGCCCACCATGCCAGTGGCAGCACAGACTCAAGGAATGCATTTGATGCACAGAATGGAAAATTAGCCTGCTACTCCTTGTGCTTAATGTTGATTCTTACTTCCAATAAACAGTGTAGTTTTCAGTCACGTCTGTCTTGACCTTGCTGACCAGCTCCACACTCCAACAGGTTTATTATCCTGAGATAAGCAGGACATCATACATCAGACCAGGCAAGGAAAGGACAAGTAATATTAAAAAAACACCAAAAACAAATGAGAAGAAGAAATCTAAATTGCTGGCACGTTTTAAGACCCTTTCATCCTACTATTTGAAGCAACTGGTATGTTGTATTACTTCTGACAAATCTACTTCACATAATCACAGATCCTTTCTAAAACCAGCACCGTAACAGCAGCAGGGAGACAGAGCCATCACTCCAGCTGAGAACCACCAGCAGAAAGTACTCAGAACACACACTGGTGAGTAGGTGAAAAGTCTTCCTTCAGGATGATCCCTGTCTGAAGACTCCTTAAGAACCAAAGGAATTAGGTCTCCTTTGACTGAAGGAATTCAGTCTATTCTACCTGGAAAAGAGCAGGCTCAGGGAGAGCCTCATCACAGTACTTACAGAGCAGCTACAAAGAGGATGGAGGTTCTCTCTGCACCAGAAGCCACAGGGAAGAGACAAGGGGTAAGAGGTACAAGTTGCATTGGCTGAAGTTTCATCTCAATATAAGAAAGAAATTTTTTAGAGTGAGATCAATCACTGACTGAACAACCTCCCCAGGGATGTGGTGGAGTCCCCATCACTGACGGTTTTCAAGATGTGATTGGACAGGGTGCTAGACAACCTCATCTGGTGTCTCTTTCCCAAAAAAGGTTGAACCAGATGATCTTTCAAGGTCCCTTCCAGCTGAGGCTGTTCCATGAGTCCATGACTAGTCACAAGCTTGTTTCAGGTTTTATGGGAAACTTTTCCACATACCAAACTGCAAATAACTCGATAAAGCTGCCTCAAAAGGATGCAACAGCTTGATAAAACCCATTGAGTTGGTTGCTTTTTACAGAGTTCTTTGTTCTTCTCCATGACAAACACATCTCAGATTTTGCAGAACTTTGTGAATAATTATTTTTCATTCCTCCCTCCATAACTTCCATTTCATTCCTCCACTCATATCTTTGCACAACAGAAGCCCTTCTGTCAGCACCTTTGCTGGTGCTGAGGAGAACCTCTGGATAAAAAGGTAAAGAAAGGGCGAGGTCTGCATAAAAAGCCAACCTGCTTTACAAAGATCAGGCCCTCATCCAGGTTCCACAATCAAGCTACAAACTGGGATGGAGCAGTAGAAAGTAACATACACTGCAATAACCATTTCTGAGTGTGCCCAGAAGGGACAGACTGAGACACAAGGCTCCTGCTGGCTCACAGATGAATTCGGGCACATACCAGGGACAGCAGTCTGGCAGAGACAGACAGACCAGAACACTGTCCAGAATTCAGTGGCATTAGGTGGCCAGTTCCAACACAGAAGCCCAATTACACCCGAATACTCTGGGATCCCAGTTATAGATACTGGTTTCCTGTGATTCTTCACAGTAGAACCTACAGCTGAAGGACTATTGGGAGTCACTCACCTGCCAAGGCCGTGGCTGATCAGGTTCTTTCACAGGTCTCAGATGTGTCATTATTTTTAGCCAGGGAGTCTCTGAGCTGTTCACACTGTGCATGGTTGGAATAATCTGGGAGAAACATTAAAACAGCCAAAACATACATAACTATTGTATAAACAGCAAAACCTCATTTCCTTACAACTCCTATCAATTGATGAAGCAAATCTCTAAAGGAATTCTAACTGCTGATGCCAGTGGCATTCTCCTGTCATAGCAAGTAAAACAGAGATGAAGCATCAGGTTTACAGTCAGGTACTGCCTCTGGTGGGACTGTCTGTCCTCATCTCCACAAACAATGGACAGTACATTTTGTTTCAAAGAACAGCGGTTCACAAATCATTCCAGAATGCCTGTCAGCTTTGAAAACATTTCAGAGTTATCAAATTCCACCTCTGGACTATTACTTATTTCCTTTGTGCCTTTTTCAGTCACATAAAAGTCACTTTCAAGTAACTGCTACACCCCCCCCAGGGATGGCTGCGTTCTAGTGGGTTTTAAAGTCAGTTCTACCAGACAAAGCTTATGCTGAAGCACCAACTCTGAGCTCCAGCCAGAAAATTCCACCCCCTCTCTTTTATGTGCCTCAGTATGTCTGAATCGATTTATAACAGAGACAGGAGAACCACAGAGGCAAAATGCCTTTTACAGGAACCTCCACTTAAACATCTCCATTTCAGATTCACTGGAGACACACTGCTTCCAGGAAACAATGGGTTCACAAAATTACTTAGGTAAAGAGTGGAACAAAAGAAAAGCTTATTTCTGCAGAGATACTGACCTCAAGTCTTCAGCCAGATCTTTCAATTACGAAAATATATTCTGTTCTTCAATTATTTTTTGCAACATCCAGTTAAAAGAATCTGCAAAGATTCTCCAAATCAGATATTCATAGAAGGTAACAATATTTTTTGCACAAGACAATATTTAAAAGTTTACTCCGTTCAACCCAGCACTTCAGTGACAATATCTGACTCCCAGCTGGCCTCTCTGGACTGCAGATTCAAATCTCTTACCATTGCTTCAAGGTGCAGTCTGCAATCTGTATCTTTATTTGTTTCATTTCACATATCCTTGCCCGGATATTCCCACTTCCTCACAGAAATGCTTTCCTGTCTTTTCTGACTGAAAGAGTCAGAAACCACAGTAAAGTGTGTGTTGGAGGGTTCTCAGGAGTCCCAGTCCCATGCCAGCTTGAAGAAGAGCAAACCTCACAGACAGGATTGCTCAGGGCCTCGCCCAGCCAAGTTCTGAAAATTCCCTTCCTCAAATTTGAAAGCTCGTGTTCTTCCCTCCAACTGCTTCTATAAAAGAAAAATCCTCATTTCTGCCATGTAAGCCAGGTAAAGCCAAATTAAGGGGAAAAAACAATGTAATGCACATGGTACCAGGGACTTTCCTTCCCTCCTGCATAACTCTGCCAGATTTCTATTCTGTCATCAAACACAAAGAAAACTAAAAATTTGCAGTGGAGTAGGTCACAACATCCCAATTCTCCACGGAATTTTTTCAGCCCCAGTAAGTCAGGCTCCAAACCCAGAAATACACACTGGCCTTGGCAGTGTGGCAGCCCAGCAGGTCCTTCCTCTATAGTGATTCCCTTCCCTCTCTGTACAGAGGAGACAAGAGATACAGAAGAAAACACGGAATTATAATTAGGACACAGGATTTGGAAAGCAGGTGTCCTGCCACTTTCCATGTGGAAATGAACATTTTTTGTCTACATGTGCCCCAATGGCCCCTGCAGAGAGCTGTGCCATGGAGACTGGTGTTCCCTGTGAGAAGCCCCCTGCTCCAAAAACAATCTCTCTTTTATCCAGACAGCCCAAGTCTACTGAGTTCCAAGAAAGCATATCCAACCTCCTGTTGTCTGAGGAGCAGGGGAAGGATTCTCACAGTTTATCCTTCATCCTGTAATAATCAATTAAAGCAAACAGATAAATGACAGTACATAAACCCTGATTAGCACTGACCCAATTTCTGATACAAAATAACAGGTAAACAGAGAGGACTGAAGCTGGGCTGAACTAGGGTGCTACAGATTTGGTATTAGACAAGTCAACAAACCTTCCTATGAGCCAGACATCCCACCCACCTGCACAGGTGCCATGGGTTCCTTGGTCACACTATCTTTGACAGATATCCTTTCCCTCCAAGTAGTTTTGTTCTTCTGGGGAAGGGATGCTGTAAATCCCTGGACAAGTTTGAGATGAAAAAAAAACATATCTTGATATTTTAAATTACAAATTACATAAAATACATATTCTAATATTTTAATTTCTAATCTTACAAAACAAGTAAAATTAAAAAAAAACCCAACCATTAGGCTCTTTTCTATCTTCAGTAACTAGTATCAAGACTCCATCCATCTCACAAAGAAAGGCTGAGCCTTTCTCTGAGCACAAAGTAAAGGAGGTGTTTGATCTCATCACAGAGAATTGGGACCCCAGGGGAGACAAAACAGAGCAAACATAGAGAACCTGCCTCTGCAGCAATCTGCCCTCAGGAACCCACAAGTGGTAAACGCTCTAACTGCAGATTTTTCCCCCCAGTCTTCATAACTCAAGCTGCCACTGAGTCCTTTCTTTTACTTCTTTTACTTATTTGTTTGGAGTCTTGCTAGGAGACACCAGCTCTCCGTGACTAACAAAGGCAGGGCCCACTGACTTGAGACAGCAGCTATTTTTCAGGTCTTAAAACTAAAGGTTTAACCACAGGCTTGGACAGAAATACAGTAAAGCATTTCCAAAATCTGAGTGGATAAAAAAAAAAAATTTGCAGTTAATGTAGCAGTTGCAGCCTGCAAATGCCAAATCCCATGAGCAGGTTGGCTGTTCTATAATATTAGGACGTTTGTTCCACTGTCCCACATCCCTGAAAGTGTTCAAGGCCAGGTTGGATGGGGCTTCGAGCAACCTGGTCTAGAGGAAGGTGTCCCTGCCCATGGCAGGAGGCTGAAACTGAAAGAACCTCAAGGTCTCTTTCCAACTCAAACTGTTCTCTGATTCTGTGAGAGAACCAGTCTCTAGTGCGAGCAGGGCAGCTCTTTGAACCCTGCAGCTTGTGAATGCGGAGCTAACAGATAACATGTGCAAGGCCGGAGCGTTCCGGCCTGGCCCCTGCACCTCGGAGGCAGCGATCGGGACCAGGCCAGTGAGCGGGGAACGCCGAACCCCCCGACCCGCACCCTGCCCGGCCCTGAGGCGGGTCCCGCAGACCGCCAGGGCAGGCGAGGCGGGCAGCAGAGCCCCGCTCCCCCCACCGCCGTTGCCGGGGTCGCCTCACCGGCCCCAGGGGCGGCCGGACGGGGCTGCGGTGGGAGTCAAACCCGCTCCGTTCGGCACAGCCCCGCTGAGGGGAAAATGGCGGTGCCCCCCTACCCTCACGGTTGTTGTAGAGCCCCTCCGTGTTCTTCCGCCGAGGAAAACAGCCTCTCTCCCATTTACCACACCTCTTCGGGACGAGGAGGTACCACCCTCGGGACAGGGATGGGAGCCCGGCCGCAGGCCGGCACCCGGACCCTGTTCCCGGGCGGAAGGGCGGAACGGGCACGGACCACGGCACGGCACGGCACGGGCACGACACGGCCGGGCCCTCCGCGCCGGCGCACAGGCGTCCCGCGCTGCCATGCAAACCCCAGGCCCGCGCGCTGCCCCCGGCAGGGCTGCCCCCAATCAGAGAGCGAGAGTGCGGCCAGTGAGCCAATCAGAAGCTAGAAACAGGCCCGCCGAGCCGAGCCGAGCCGAGCCGAGCCGAGCCGAGCAGGCGAAGTCAGGGTCACTGGTTTATCCAAAATTCACTAAATTGTATTACGAGATTTCACACATTACCGTGCAGTGCTAGCCGTGACATTAAATTTGAAACTGAAGGCAGCCAGAGATACCAGATGAGGGAAATGTGAGGTTTTTTTATCTCAGCGGCGGGTTCCTCAAAACCTTTATATTTGATTTTTTAAAAAAATTATTATTATTATTGATTTGTCAGCGCCCCAGGAAAGACAAGTTCCTCGTGCCCAGGCAGCTTGTCAGTGCCCAGCCCTGGCCCTGCACGGGACACCCCAAGAATCACACCATGTGTTTGAGAGCCTGAGAGCCCTGTCCAAATGCTTCTTGAACTTCATCTGCTCTTGAACTGTATCGGAGGGTGGGTCAATCAACCTTTTCAGGGATACCAGCAAAGTGTCCGAGCCAAACCCCTTATTTCAATTTGGAAAGAGAGACCCCCTGCTGGATCCCGCCCTCTCTTGGTATTTTATCAGTTTTGTCAAGTCTTACCCACTGCCGCAGTCTGCCAGCGCCCTTGAAGGACTCACACAGAACAGTTTAAGGAATAACACACTTTATTAACAAATACACTGATCACAGAAGATTGTGACAATCAGGGATTGATGTTGACACTGAACTGATTCCAAGAAAAAGTCTGAAGCAATACACAAAGTCTAATCATCAAGGAAAGCTTGAAATAATAGTTAGCACACTTTGAATAAAGTTCTTCCCCAAAAGGCCTCCCTAGAAGGGAGAAGCCAGGTTCAGCCCATTGACCAATCCCAGAAATTAGGATGGAGTCTTGCCTAATATCTCCCCCTTTTAACTCACTGTTACTTATTTCTTTACACTTATATGGAGCTTGAGTGACTCCAGTCACACGTACTTTTGTTCCTGATTGGTGTAAAATTCTGTCACTTTGCTCTTAAAGATATAGTTAATAAAATAGAGACCACGTGCTCAGGGAGGGGTGGTAACTTTGGGATGGAGGTGTGTGACAGTATTACAGTATTATATGAGATTATAATGAGCAAGGTTCATCTGAGGAGAGTGATTTTGCCACAGTTGCTGGTTCAGCAACAAGGTATCTTTTCCTCTCACTTGGTTGACAGCTGCTCTGCGGTTTATCAGCCCCCTGGTACCATCCAGTTCCCATTCCTGCGGGGATTACAACAGAGCCTGGCCGAGGTGTCTTCACTCCGCTCCGAGTCATTCCCCCTTAGCATCTGCAGGGTGTGTTGCCTGGGGAACTGCCGTGCAACAGATTCCGTGCTTGCCAACTGCATTCTCTCCTCGAAGAAGCAACTATATTTCACCCTAAAATTTCCTTAATGTCATAACTTCCGTTAGAATGTGACTGTAACTTTAGACTCAAGATATTTTCCCCCTATTTTCCCTCATAATCCACCCCGCGACTGGAGTCACTCAAGCTTCACAATATCCAAATGGAGTTTAAGAGTGTTTTATGCATTTGTATTGCGGGGGTTATCTAATGTTTGTGGGGGTAGCCAATAGGCTAATTGCTTCACAATAATGCAAACTTTAGCATACAATACTAAGACAAAAAGCAAAACAGTTAATGTCAATAAAACAACAACAGGGCAAAGCACCCTCTTGAGAATTCCTGTAGCAGCTGGTGATCATCCAAAGAGAGTATCCCACCACCAATGTTCTGCATCTTTCTTGACTGCTTCTGAAATATGATGTATTTTCTCCACATTATGATGGATGGGAATCAGAGTCCTTTGTCCATTTCCTTGAGCTTGCTTCAGCAATTGGTTTAGGTCTTCATGTTGTAGTAGCTTTCTGCTCAAGTTGAAATTTGCTCCAATAGGGGTAGGCAGCAGGTCTTGAATCAGCATATACTTAGACCATAACAATTGATAAGATATGACAGAAGTTAAGTAAATAAATCATCCCATAATTTCAATGGACTTACAAACACAAATATCTGAGTCATTACTTGTAGCTACAGTAACATTATCTACAAGTAAAGAATCCCAAAGAGTTCACATTTCCATTATCAATATTTACAACTGAAAACATTTTTAGGGTTTTCATTAGGATGTGTCTCAAAATGACAAACACTTTGTTCAGTTATAAGACAAACG